ACCCGTGACCGCGACCGCACCGCTGCGACCCGACCCGACCCGAGACTGATCCAAACCTTTCCAACCGGCCTGAGCCCGAGAAGTTTGTTATGGTGTTCCTTTCGTGATTCAACACTCGACTAGAGTCGACAGAGGCCAAACTCTTCAACCGATTGAGTTGTGGTAATCAGACGATCTCCATCAAAGAAAATTAAAAACGACTCTGAGTCGGCAAACAATTTTAGAAGGTAATGTCCTAATCCTAACTATAGATTTCGCTGCGTTAGGATTTATTTCGATAAGTTCAATACTATGCATGTCGTTGACGTTCCTCATGGAACCCAACACTAATATGTACAATGTAGTAAATGAGGCCTGATATCTATTATTGCCAAGGGCATAGTTGGTAGATATCAACGTAATCCTAGTTAGGTGCAATTGGTTAGGGTAGAAGATATGATCAAGCACCGTAAAAGGCTAAAGATAATATGTAGGGTTACCAAAAGGACCGTATGCAACCTATGGATTACAAAAGATTCTAATTTCTAATCAGACGTGAACGCTAGAGTAAAACCAACCTCGGGATTTGTGTTCACTTGTGAGGTGGAACCAATAGAATTTGGATCCAGTAACCTCTATTGAACTAGAAATGTGAAATTCCTTGTTTGCCCAAGTCAGATCATAATTTGATTGTGATGACAGTTGGTGCAGTTGCAAATAGAAAAGGAATCACGAGTTCATAAGGCAAGTGAGCGCATAGAGCAAGTAGGACCCAGTGCGAGAAATTGCAAAGGGGTAGAGTTTTATCGCCTAGTTACATCAGGGGACTACCAGGAAGATCCTTTTGGAATTGGCCTTTGAGCGAAAGCTGTTGAAGACCATGATATGGGATTAGGGAGTCGGGTGTATGGTAGTTAGGACAATAGTTCCTTGAGAATAGAGATTGAAAGAAGTATACTGGTAAAGCGGAAGCTTTAAGTATAAGTGGGAGATTGTTGGTTTTTATACTGTAAGTTTAGCTTTAGATGTATTTACACTTAACCCGTTTGAATGAGAATCATGCTTAATATAACAGTCTATGTTCTGTTGTTTTACACTTAGATAGAGTGGGTCGTCATCGAGCGAACCGTAGATCATTCTATCTGTTACTTGCGAAACAAGAATAAGTGGTTCACAACCTAGAATGGAAATGAACATCCTATCCGAACGGTTGTAGTGTTAACCATACAGTTTGTCTTGATTGATTAGTTACACAAGTACACTTTATGTATTGAACGGATACCAGAGAGGATAAGTTCATTTTATATTGATCGTCGTAAACGAACTAGGCCTCGGTTAATTACTGCGTACTCTTAACCCGTGAGATATAAACAAGCATGTGCATGCAGTAAATATTACTTTGATTCACATGGGTGAGACTCAGTTTACTGGATCAATATTTTCAATGTTTTGGGTAATATTATTGTATTTACAATGTGCTTTTAGAATATTTACGGCCACCGTGTGTGTTAGTTTGATGATGTCCCTGGGATGAGCTCATGAAGGATTATTATGTTAAATCAGGCCAGTTGAATTTATTCCGACATAATAAGAATGAGATGAGTAGTACTAGTCTCGGTTATAGATGTCGATTAATTTAATTGTCAGTAATTAAATTAATTGATGGACATTATATCTTAAACACGGGGAGGTAAATCAAGTAATTATTATTGGAGACTCGAATATAATTTGGGAATTAAATTGGGAGTTTATTCCATAATACTACTTTAGTGGAGTGGCTGTATTATTCTTATTTGGATTTGGTAGGCTTGGTCTATAGTCTAATCCAAAAAGGAGAAGCCCAATTTAATACCTCCTTAGGGTCCATGTTGTAGACTATAAATACATCACATCTCTAGAGATTAGGAGACAGATGAGAGAGAACAGATATACACGATCGAGAGTCACGCACGCCGCCCCCTTGGTGTTCTCTTCTCTCTCTTATGTTTTCTTCTTGTTCTCCAAGTACTCCCAGGAGAGATATCTCCGATCTATTGCCCACCAAGATAATAGGATGAGATGTCGGGTAATACAACAGAAGATCTGAGGTTGTCGAGCAATCTATATATATATTTATCCAACCTCGTAATATATATATATATATATATATATATATATATATATATATATATATATATTCATCCCCGTAATTTATCTGTAATTTGT